TGGTACGAGACAGATAAGAGGTTAGAAGAGTTCAACTCTGGAGATTGCAAGATTCTCAAAATAGTTATACCATTAACGAATCCGCACCTGACTTAGAAATCACGTGTAAAACAATTCGTGCCCGTCTCTACGTGATGGAATTTATTATATTTTAATTTTGTTTTCTTTGTTCACTGCAATGAAGAACCCGTTGAGTTTAAATTTTCATAGAAAGAAAATCAAAATTCACCGTTTTTAGATTTTTATAAAAGTTTGGTGTAAATACCAGAAAATTGAAAAAAAGGATGTGTACGATTTTGTTATTTTCTATGTCGAAACATAATATCTCTATAAATGGACATGGATCTTTACATATATCCTTAATAAATATCTAAATAAATACATATTTAATACTATTAAATAAATGCTATTTTGTACAAAACTTAGTCGTATTCCTAATTTATTAACTAAACAAAGTTAAGAAGCTAGAATTTTATTTGGGAACTACAGAGGGTGAATTACACAAAAATTATTACGTTGAACAAAATGTAAAAATTATAACGTTTACGTTTAAATTGAAAAATATAAGACTTTGGTCCTAAAAGGAGGTAATTGAGTTGGAATGCTAATAGCTTTTCTGTCAGGAAGGTCTGAAAAATTTGACAATAGGGTTTGTTTTGGTTTGGTGATAATAGGGCATTGTTGGTAAAAATTGCTCTGAGGTGAAGAAAAGGATGATGTAGATCCTCGATGTTGATGCCTGACGGGAACACAGTATGAGTTCAGTGAACAAGGAGATGAAGAATTGGGTCCAGAGGCCCAATTATGTAATAATACTGGTGTGAAATTTAGTGAATGGTCCCAGAAGAAACGAAGACCATCACAAGTCAATTCAACAGGTTACGTAAGAGAAATAACTTGCATGACATATTATACTGACGATCCCTTTTTGCAAATGTTCTTTGTAACATTTGTAACACAACATCTAAAGAAGTCTTTAGATTTTATTTCAGATTCTAAAGAATTTTTTATCTATTTCATTTCTATATTTTCTTTATCTATTTCTATAAGTTTGTATGAACTAGAGGCGTAAATAGTTGTAGTTTACTACTGCATATGTGTAACTACGACAGTTCACTATTTTGCGTACACAACTACCACAATTTACTACCTCTCATGTCATTTACCGAATGACTGAACGATGTACTTCGAAATTTTCCGAAGGACGAAAGTGAATAATTTATTATAATAGAGGAAGAGGATACGACAGAAATAAAAAAGTCAAGATTTACAGTACGTAGTTGCATAGTTCTAAATTCAATTGAATAGCTCTTTAAAAGACAAACTCTTTCCATTTCCACTTTCCGTTATACAGATTTTTTTTAATTCCCATAGACAATCTAAATTCATTGCCTTGGCATTGATAGGAATCAAGTATTCCGTCGTTAATTTCACTTTAAGTACCTTTTAAAGAGAAAAGAATGTTATTAATTGTCGGCTGACAAATGTTCGAGACCATCTAATTGATCTTCGATAGGGTGAATCGACGAATCTTTCATCAATCATTAGACAACAGTAATTTTATTCTCTGTAAACGAACAATGCTTAGATATTAGTCTTCCTTATTCCGTTCGTTGGCCTGCACCGGTATTTGCCGACAAGGCAGTCACCGATTGCAATTTGCCGATAGGATTCTTGCCTTGCGCATTGCCCTGTTGAGGATCATAGACATTGGTCTGCGAGTTGGATTCGAATTTTGTTAAGACTAGACTAGGAACTTGTGGAGAGTGCAGATTCATCTCGCACGATTACTTCGCCATAGAAGAGAGAATCTATGCAGCGGCATTTCAGTACCCAGTGATCAATATGTTCATGTAGTATAACCAAGGTCCCCCCTTGTTGCTGTATAAGGTCTCGTCGAATGTAGATACCAGTTGGATAGAGTCCCCCGCAACTACCTGCAGCTCTATTATCTATTCGTTTCGTATCTGTATGGCATGATATTTGCACCAGTGCTCGTGCAGAGCGGAAGTCACTTCGGCGACAGGGAATATGCTCCACAGAAACTGTTCTTTGAGATAATTCAATAAATTTCCAATGAATTAGGCATGAGTGCATTTTTAACTGTTGGTGGGAAAAAAATAAGAATTGAGATTGAGAGTTGTCTCCGGGTATCATCAACTTTTTAGGTGCAACGTCCTTTCTAAAGATTAGGGGAAGATGGTTGTGGGCAATCTTTTTTTTTATTCAAAACCTGTGTACTGGCGAAACAACTAAACTGATTCTGTGGATGAAAAAAAATTCTTCGAGTTTGTCAAATTAGTCTTCGTGTCAGTCCAGCAACCGCTACCAAGTTAACTACTTGTGTACTATCATCAAGTGTCTTCTTCGACTACAGTCCAGAAAACCTCTTCAAGTACCAAGTGCCTTCTTCGACTCTCGTCTTAGTCAAATTCATTCAAGGAGATGATTTCTACTACGAGGCACATTTCTGTTTTTCTAAGGACTGCATTACCACGACATCAACATCAAATAAATAATTCGGTTAGTCCAAGGCTGAGGGGTATTCAATCTAATTTGCATCGACACTTAGACTCAGGACCTTTCACTTTGGTTGTCCCGAAAGTAATTTGAGGGAAATCTACTGCATTTTTTGTTTCCGCTAGTCAAGGTCATTTCTTCAACCTCACACTGAAGGAGGTATTGCTTGCTGGATCTACGACTACAAAAATAATTTTAAAAGTTCAACAACTTATCCTTTTGCATTATCATATCATAGCTTTTTCCCCAGGTGCATCAGAACCTTCTTTTTGAATTATGTCCCTATTTAAATTATCAATTGATTCCACAGAGTTCTAATTTTGTTTCAATTTACCACTTAATAATTCTTGTCAACTTTATAATAATTATTAAAGAACATATTTAATGACATGCTAAGTAGACGTACGATCCAAAAGTGAACGGACAACAATCTGTTGCTTCTTTCCAAAATCTTTAGGGTACGTCCCTGTTCCCGTTATGATAACCTCGGGACCGAACTAATTAATATCACCGAGACTATCCAAATTTATCGACATTTAATAAATTATAATTTTTCAGTGTAGGGAGACACTTCCTGTTTACAATTCATAATATACGAAGAATTGCGCTATGAAAATTTGAGGTGTTTCAGAATTCAAGTTATTTTAAACTTTTTAAAGAAAGTAAACCACACCCACTTTGCCCTCTGTTATTAATGGTGATGGTAGCTCGTCCGTGGATCATTGCTCATCCGGTTTTCCATCGGTGGCTCTTGATGCTCCTAGAAATTCTGTGGTATTGCCACCGCGGAAAGTGGACGACCTTGTACAGTAAGAAGCAGATCGAGCAAGTCAATCTTTTTATTCTTTTTCCTACATTCATCTTTTTGCGATTTGTGCCTATTTAGAATTGGGCCAAACAAGATTAATTTTGAATATTGCATTTTTTTGCTATTATTTAATTAGAATAATTAGATAAAGAAAAGAGAACGAGATTTAAAAAAACAAGAGATGCACACTGATCAGAAATTGAATGCACACGGTTGGAGGTCCGCACGCGTGTACTTAAAGGTATGTAAGCGACCTAGCCCAATATTTCAACCCACGCCAAGAGGCTGGTGAGTGAGTAGCCGCATAAAATGCATTCCCTGTGTGGAGCAGAAGGAGAAAAGGAAGACAGAAGGAAGGCCACAGTCGCAAGAGTTAGCAGGGCGGTGCGTGGGTCACAATGCCTTCGGGGTACACCATACCTCGACTCGTTATGGAAGGCACACGCGATATTGTTGCTCGTATATATGGAGAGGACGAGGGAAGTGCGCTGGCTTGTACTATGCAGATGATTCCGCGATATGGGCTATTCATTGTAAGTCACTTAAGACTGCATTGCGTACTCTCTGGACGTGATATGTTATTATATTGCCTATCGAAAACCACGTCGGTAACCCATCTGTGTCCTCTAATATTTATATTGCGACTTGGTTTCAAACCAATAAAACCGTTTCATCTCTGATCTTGAATTCAAATTACCACACTTATTCAATGGTAAATTGAAACATTTTTCTTTCCTCTTAAAATACTTTCATTCTTTGTTCAATAGAAATAATTGTTATCTAGTTGAAGTTTGATAATAAATATCTCTATTAGAGAGGGAAGACGAAGAATTCAAACTCGATTGCCTCCAGTTTACTTTTGTTCTACCGAGATGAGACTGCGAGTCGTATATAAAAAATGAAGATTGTTCACAGTGAGTGGCGCAGATGAACGACAAGACGCCGACGATGATGAGAATGATAATGACGATGATGAAGATGATGATAATGATGATGATGTTGGCGATGACGATAATGATGATCATGGTCACGGACTGTGCATGAGTGTCGCCCTGACAATTTCCAAGTTCTTTTTTTTCTCCCCCTTGGGGAATATAACTCTCAAAGTCCTAGATTACGAGATGAAAGGCTGCCGGATCATTATTGGTGGCGAGTAATGCGAGGGCATTTAGCGAATACGAACCATCATTACCTTTAGGCGACTACTTCTTCTTATTGGCCACCATTTTAACGAGAGGAAGACATAAGAAGTAACCTTTCGGGGTCTGCCGGACGCTACCACCCACGTGGCTGGACGTCGAGTTCCACTCACTTCTCCTTTTCACAAGACTCCAGAATCGGAAGCTCTAATGATATATGTATACACTCCATGCTAAGTACCCATGTTTACACTCCAATGTCTATTGTACAGTCATTTTCAGCGTCAGCACGCGATTACACAATGAGACTTAGGAAGCGGAGGAACTTACTTCCTTTGATTCACTCTTAATTTCTGTTTCAAAAAAACTTCCATTAGTAAGAAAATCGAATTAAGTCTTTTATTATAGCAAATAAATTAATAACTACGAAAATATGCTTTTTTATTTTTGCATACATGGTGATTTACATAATTATTTAAAATTAATAATTGGAATAAGTATAATTAAATTTGGTTTTTCTGGATTTGTTACAGGAGGACTATAGTCAGCGAAGGCGACTATCGACCCCTAGCGGAAGTCCCAGCCCCCCTCAGCCCTCAAGATTGTCCAGGTCAACTGGAACTCTCACGAGAGGGGAAGAACCTTATAAGAGTACCCTTACCAGAGACAATCAAGGTCAGGAGGCAGAAAGAAAGGGTTGGTTCAAATCCCTTTCTAGGAAAACAAAATCAAACTCAAAGGTAATTTTAGCAAATTGTACTAATTGTAATAGAAAGAATTTTGAAATACAGCGACAATCCGAGGCTGTGTAAATTTTTTGTCACTTATTTTACGTCTCAGAAGGAGACAAGTACTTGTATTTTAATTGTTTGCCTGATTTATTTACAAAGCGCTAGGTTTTGAGCTAAGGGAACAGGCTAAGGAAACTAATACTTTATATATAAGTTTGCCCTTTATTTATTTTTACAAATACAATTCTCATCGAAATTAAAAGGTGAGCAGTTCCCTTTCTCCGATATTATTGATTTTACTAAATTCGTATTTAACAACACGTATTTTTCGTTCGATGGAAAATTCTACAGACAGGTTTATGGCACACCGATGGGTTCGCGAATATCAGCTTTCGTCTCAGACATTTTCATGAATGATCTGGAAACTGAATGTTTAAAAGAAAAGCATGATTGTGTCCCCCTGTTCTGTTTTAGGTGTGTGGATGATACAATCTTAGCAGTTAAAAAAGAAAATGTTAATTTGGTCATTGATATCTTTAACTCTTATAATCAAATACTACAAGTCACAGTAGAAAAAGAAAATTCTATTAATTTTCTAGATTTAAAGCTTGTTAGAGATAACATTGAAATTATTACAAATTGGTATCAAAAACCGACTTCATCGGATAGACACATTCGAACGCAAATACATTTATATCATTTATACAATGAATTTATACATCATTTATATCAATGAAAAGCTTCGTTCAGCTGATGCAGCAGAAACAGGCTTTATTAACAAAATTTAATTATCTTTCATCATATTGATAATATTTAGGCGAAACAAAATTGAATTTCGAAATGGAATTTGTAAACTTAGGAGAATTTAAGTGATATCATCGAATAAATTTGATCTCGTGATTGTGGGGGAGAATGTATACCAAGCTCTCTCACCAAAAGCATGTGTGGGCGATCTGCTCTGTGATGAATAACGGTTCTTTTTGACGTTCATAAACAACTCTCAGATCATGCAAAACTTTACTCAGTACCGCAAAGTTTCCTCTACCTTCAATCTTCCCTAAGATCCAGGCATGCTTGCACGTTCTTTTCAAAACGTGAAGAAAGGTCGATATTAATTTTTTTTTTCCACCAAGACGGACATATAACATCGTGTTTAATACACTCTATCGAGATTTATATGATTCAGTACCATATTGACCGAATGTCAAAGGCAGGTTAAGAGCCTCTCTTGTTGCATAAAGACGGAAAACATGTTTCGATGATTAAATAAATTATTGAGTATCGTTTGGATAAAATTTTGAATATTAATCACTCACTTTGGAAAGCTTTTCAAATTGAATTGATTTTGACAAAGAGTGCCGATTGATGATTCGCTGTGTGAACGATAAATAGTAAAGGGGGTCAGGTTTATCGAGACATAGTGGGTGAAGCGAATGCATTCATCAGTCAATGGTTTTCAAAGCCGTTGCGAGGGCCATTAGACTAGAACAACCTCCAATTACCAGTTTGATTAAATGCTTAACTAACTCCGCGCTCTGTGGTTTAATTTAATCGCAAGATTAAGTGCCGAGTCTGCCTAGCTAACCATCGTTCCCGGAATAATCTCTCTGCACAGATATACTGATTCCAATCCTAGGCGGTAGACTCTCTCGCAGCTACATGATAGCCATTTGAGTTGATTGCGTGCGCGTGAATCTCGCCATGCTTGGTGATCTATCGAATAAGCCAACCCATGGAGTCATGACTCATCAAGACGCGCCGCGCGGTGTGGAGTTGCCATTTTTTGATTCCTGTCAGGAATCGATGAGAGAGGATTCGTGCTTTTGTATTTGGAAAAAAATATTCTTAAACCTCTTTTGCGCCCTCTCTCACTACATCGGCGTAAAGTTTATCGACTAAAATCATCTCTCCTTATTCAGAGGTGGATTATCAGAAGTATGCATTCCGTGATGCTTTACTGTTTACTATTTTCGGTTACGTAGTTAAAAAAAATTATAACCATTACTAACGAAAGTCCTCTTAACGATGTTTGGGAAACTTTCGGCTAATAAATCAGCTGCAAGCGTCCCAAACGGAGATCTGACATCAGTAACAAAAATTTAATTATTTTTTTTTTTAACAGCCTGTTGATAAGAAGCCAAGGATACCAGAAAGTGAAATACTGACAACAGGCACTGAGGACGAGGAAGCATCATCAGCCCCCGAGCGAGCTTCTGTGCAGAAGAATTTAAGATTTTTCGGCGATACGGATCAGGAATCTATATCATCGAATCTTGATCGAAGGTTGGTGTTCATTGCATAATAATCAAAGTAAGGAAATTATTATAACTTAATAATTAATAATGACTTGTTTCTTTATAGAAATAAACGAAATGACGACCACGTTTCCACGAGACGTGATGTAACGAATTCATCTCGACGCACTTTAGGAATCATAACGAGTCCTAGGAAACCATCGAGGCTCAATGAGAGCGCATTGTCGTCTGGGGAAAGTACCACAGGCGACAGCAGTCAACAAAGCCAGAATTCCCAAAGATCACAACGATCCGTTGTTTACCTTCACGCAGCTACAGGTGAGTTGTGAATACACAAATTGAATACAAAATACAACTTTTCTACTTCCTTATTCATCCATTCAAATTTATCTTTAGTCTGAAGTAAATTTGCGCTAAAATTGAAAGTCAAAGTGAAAAACATATTTTAAGAGTGAAAATAAAATTGAAGGATCCTGCGAAACATGAATATCGCATTTATTTTCAAATTAATTCACGTCATTCTTTAAAATTTAGAAAAAACTGAAATATGGACTCACGGGGCAAATATAGTTAGAGCTATTACGGCTGGATAAAATTCTGCTAATGCAACTGCAAATTATAAACAAATGTTTAATTGTAAAAATATTGTTATAAAACATGAGGATATCGATTGCTCCGAGTCGAAGACTCGGAGTGATCGGTGTCTTCGTGTTTTATAATAATTTAAAATGATCCAGTGATAAAATCATTATTTTATATTATTAAAATATTGTTACAGTAACTTCTTCAAACTTATTTTCATCATTTCAATTCAATTATAATTTTCTACAATTTTTAAATAAAAACCTTCTTTAAATCAATTATTTTTAATAATTTTTGATAAATTTGTCTTGAGAATTTTTAAATCCATTAATTTACAATTCAATTTTACGTACAACTTAAATTATTTGAAAATTCTTCAATTAAAAGCTTTTTGAAAAAAAATTGTTCCATAGAATTTTCAATTAAAAGTATAAAAAATTCAGTTTTTTAAAGAGTTTAATTTGAAAACTTTTACAAAATTCAATTATTTCTAAAAATTTGAATTATTAGTAACTTCTCCAAAATTCAATTATTAGCTAAAACTTTAACTAAAATTAATTTTTAAATCAATTTTTATTAGAAAATTCTACGAGAATTCGATTTTTTATATACAAAAGTAAATAATTTATTGAATAATTGAATCTTTCTTAAAATTGAATTCTTTTACATAATTTTATTAACAATTTTTTTAAATAATTAAATTCTATCGACGAATTTTAATAACATTTCTAAGAATAATTACATTTTTCGAGGAAATAGATTAAAATTGTATTAAAAATAATTGAAATTCTGCAATGAGATTTATTATTTATGAAAATAATTGAAAATTATTCATGTAGAATTTTGTCAAAATCATTGAATTAAGAAAAATGTTGGAAAATAATTGAAATTTTGCCATGAATTTTATTAAAATTTTTGAAAATAATTGAATTCTTGTGATGAATACTATATTATTTATGAAAATAATTGAATTTTGCAATGAATTTGATTAAAATTCATGAAAATAATTGAATTTTGTCGAAGAACTTTGCTATTCATTTATAAAGAAATTGAAATGTTGATTTCAATTTTTTAAGATTTGTTAAAAATAATTGAATTTCTTCGAAAAATTTTATTAATTTTGAAAATAATTGAAATTTTGTGATGAATATTGTTATTTATGAAAATAATTGAATTTTACAATGAATTTTATAAAATTTCCTGAATGTAATTGAATTTTGGCGAAAAATTTTGCTACTTATAAAGATAATAATTGATATGTTGATGAGAATTTAAAAAAAAATTTGAAAATAATTGAATTTTATTACTTTTGAAAATAATTGAATTCTTGTGATGAATACTATTATTTATTAATATCATTGAATTTTACAATCAATTTTATAAAAATTCTTGAAAATAATTTAGTTTTGTCGAAGAATTTTGATATTCAATTAGAAATATAATTGAAATGTTGACAATTCTTTTTAGATTTTTTAAAAATAATTGAATTTTTGCAAAGAATTTTATTAATTTTGAAATGAATTGAATTTTTGCAATTATTGCACTATTATTTATTAATACAATTGAATTTTGCAATGCATCTTATTAAAATTCTTTACACCAATTATTTTTAATAATTTTTGAAAAACTTCTTCTTTAAGAATTTTTAAATCCATTTGTTTACAATTTAATTTTACGTGAAATTTCAATTATTCGGAAATTCTTCAATTAAATATACATTAAAAAATAAACACTTAAATTAATTTTAAAAAATTTCGATTAATCTTTTTGAAAAAAATTAGCTCCATAGAATTTTTAATTAAAAGTATGAAAATTTCAAATTTTCAAAGATTTTAATTTGAAACTTTTACAAAATTCAATTATTTCTAAAAATTGCAATTATTAGTAACTTCTCAAAAATTCAATTATTATCTAAAACTTTAACTGAAATTAATTTTTAAATCAATTTATATTGGAAAATTCTACGAGAATTCAATTATTTAAATACAAACATAAATAATTTATTAAATAATTGAATATTTCTTAAAATTGAATTCTTATGCATAATTTTATCAACAAATTTTTTAAATAATTAAATTCTATCGACGAATTTTAATAACATTTCTAAGAATAATTACATTTTTCGAGGAAATAGATTAAAATTGTATTAAAAATAATTGAAATTCTGCAATGAGATTCATTATTTATGAAAATAATTAAATATGTGAAAAGAACTTTAAAATTTATAAAAATAATTGAATTACTTCGAAAAATTTAAAGCCAAATTTTCAAATATTTTATTTTTTTGAAAAAATTTATGCAAATTCTATTTTAAATAATTGAATTCCTATGAAATTTTTATTTATGTAAAAACTAATTGTAGTGTAGAATATTATAAAAAATTTTTGTTTAATAATTTAAGACTTAAGTTATTTCCCTTAATTTCCTGTCTCAGAATATATGATTATTTATATAGTTAGAATAGTATTAAAACTATATTATAATAATATAATATAATATAATATATTATAATACTATATTATATTATTATTATTATAACTATATTCCAATTCCGTATTTTATTTTTATGAAACAAAATTTTAATTAAAAATTTTTAAATTCTATTATTTTTCAAATTGCTAATTTTATTTTAAAAAAGTAAGAAGTTAGCCGTTATTTTATATTCATTAAATAAAATGAAAAATAAAATGAAAATGTTTGAAAATTTTTTCATTCTTTTCCAAAAGTCGGCGAGATTCCTGGACCAAACGAAAGACGTCGAGCAGCAAGTCGTGAGGAATTGAATCGTCCTCTTCAGGCACACACGAGGACTGTGTCAAGAAGCGTTAGTGTTCTGGCACCATGGAGACCAAGAAACTATCGCGAACCTTTTGAAATCAATTACGATCAGCAGCAACATCAGAAACCAATGATAACAATGAAGAGAAGACAAAGAAGCCGCGAGACTTTAAGTCGTCGTGGCAAAGACGCTCGCCGAAGCAAGGACAACTTGTCTAAAACAGGCAAGTTTAATTTTTTTCCTAAACTCTTCCTTAAAATTTTTTAAATTAATTTTTTTTTATTTAATTGTTCAAACAACAAAATGTGAATATAAATTTTGATTAATATATAAAATTTTCACTCCTTATAGCAAAAAAAGGACTAATTTAAAAAATAATTTAAAATCTAACTGAAAATATTAATTTTCCTAATCCTCTTGTTACAGGAACAATGAATCGTAGCACGCTGAAGTCAAAGGACAAGCAAAAAGTAGATAGAACAGTTTCCACTGAGTCGTTGGCCAGCAAATCTCGCAGCGTGAGTTCTAGGCCGGAACTAAACAGATCCACTTCCGTTCCACGCGACCCCAACAAAAGTGCAGGATGGTTCAAGTTGAAAAGCAAGAAATCTCGGTCCTGAACGAAAGGCCATTGACCAATGCTAGTCTCGAGTTTCTTTATTTAAAAACTCTATTGCAAATAAGACATATAAATATATATAAATATAAATAAATAAAAATTTATATATTATAAATTTCCAGATTAAAAAAAAATTATATATATAAATATATATACAGTATAATCAAAAATTTTTCGTTTGAATACAATCCTGATTATGGTAAAACTACGTAGTATTTATAACTATTCTTGCAAACAATATTTTTTTTAATACTTTCTTTATTTTTGTAAAAGTTGTCTCAACTGGAGTATGAATACAATTTTTTTAAGAAAATCGCGATCGTAAATGAACGAAAAATTTTTTTGGTTGTACTGTATGCATGCATTAATGCGATAATCTTCTATAAAACTGTGCAATAGAAGAAAATCGGCAATTTTTAATCCACTAAAACGTTTCTGCGTACTAACGAAAGAGTAGCAAAAATTTTATAAAAATCAAAAATTCAGAGGAAAAAAAATATTTTTGACCAAGCGCTAGTAACGGTATTACTATATTTTTGTACAGAACAAATTAAAAAACGATAATTTAGAGTAAATTTTCTGATTATTAATTAATATTAAGTTAACGGCTTGAAAAAAAAACATTTTAAATAGCAGGTTTATTTTTTCATAGAAGGAAATAAATATCTTTACACTGTATTTTAAGTTCACATCATAAAATTTTGAGGCAAAAATATTTATTTTGAAATAAATTACATGCACATTTACTGCTTTGTGGAAACAAAAAAATCGAGTTTCTGAAAATCTTAACTGCCTTTAATCACTTAATCAGTGTTGCCACACGTCAGGGAATTCGGGGAAAAGTCAGGGATTTTTATTAAAAGTACTGGAAAATATTAAATGTTTAAAATTTATTTATTAATATCTTAATAAAATATTAAAATTCTTTCCAGAAATTCAATTGTTTTCGAAAATTTGAAAAAAATTCTACTCAACATTTCAATTATCTTTTAAATAGCAAAATTCTTCGCCGAAATTCAATTATATTCAAAAATTTTAATAAAATTCATTGCAAAATTTCAATTACTTTAAAAAATAACAATATTTATTAGCAGAATTCAATTATTTTGAAAATTAATAAAATTCTTCGACAAAATTCAATTATTTTCATGAATTTTTATAAAATTCTTCGACAAAATTCATTTATTTTCATAAATAACAATATTCATTGCAAAAATTCAATAAATTTCAAAATTAATAAAATACTTGGCAAAAATTCAATTATTTTCAAAAAATCTAAAAAAAATTGCAAACATTTCAATTATCTTTATAAATGAATAGCAAAATTCTTCGACAAAATTTAATTATTTTCAAGAATTTTAATGAAATGCATTGCAAAATTCCAATTATTTTAAAAAATAACAATATTTATTAGCAGAATTCAATTATTTTGCAAATTAATAAAATTCTTCGACAAAATTCAATTATTTTCATGAATTTTTATAAAATTCTTGGACAAAATTCGTTTATTTTCATAAATAACAATATTCATGGCAAAAATTCAATAAATTTCAAAATTAATAAAAAAATACTTGGTAACAATTCATTTATTTCTAAAAAATCTAAAAAAAAATTGTAAACATTTCAATTATCTTTATAAATGAATAGCAAAATTCTTCGACAAAATTCAATTATTTTCATAAATAAATATTCATCGAAAAAATTCAATTATTTTAAAAATTAATAAAATTCTTCACAGAAATTCAATTATTTTCCAAAAAATTAAAAATTTCACAGGTATTCAATTATTTAAAATATAATTTGCATAAATTTTTTCGACAATGTTTTAAAATTTGTCAATATTCTTCGAAGTAATTCAATTCTTTTCATAAAATTTAAAGTTCATTTCACATATTTAATTATTTTCATAAATAATAAAATCATTCGAAAGTAGTCAATTTTTTTCACATATAACAATATTCATCACAAAAATTCAATTATTTTCATAAATAACAATATTGATTACAAGAATTCAATTATTTTCAAAATTATTAAAATTCAATTATTTTCAGAAAATTTTCTTAATTCAATAATTTGTATATATCTATTCTTTTAATAAAATTTCCCAAAAGAATTCAATTATTTAGAAACAATTGTTACAAAGTTCTACAGATTTTCAAAAATAATGAAAATTTCACAAGAATTCAATTATTAAAAATATAGAATTTGAATAAAATTTTTCGAAAAAACTAATTGTTTGAAACTTTTTCATAAAATTCTTTGCAATAATTGAATTATTTTCATAAATAATAAATCTCATTGCAGAATTTCAATTATTTTTTATGCAATTTTCATCGATTTCCTCGAAAAATGTAATTAATTCTTAAAAATGTTATTAAAATTCGTCGATAGAATTGAATTCTCGTAGAATTTTCTAATAAAAATTGATTTAAAAATTAATTTCAGTTAAAGTTTTAGCTAATAATTGAATTTTGGAGAAGTTACTAATGAACATGAAGAAAGCGATTACTCCGAATCGAAGACTCGGAGTGATCGATATTTTCATGTTTTATATTAATATTCTTATAAGTTATTGAATTTTAAAAGGTTTGAATTAGAAATTTAAAAAATTTTAATTTCCATGAAAAAATAACAATGATTAAATATTTATTTAAAAAAGAAGTTATTAATGTTTTCGAATAATTTTACTTTTGAAGAAATTTGTAAATAAATGTAATAGAACATTTTTTTTAGTTTATAATAATTTTTAGAGTGAATTAGAATATTATTTGGGTCAGGGAAAATGTTAAAATTTTGTCTGAAAATCAGAGAAAAGTCAGGGAAAAACAAAATTAAATTTTTGTGGCAACTCTGTTAATGCAATAGAATTTTAGGCGTAATTTAAAAATATACACGACGTTAAGACGCATGTCAAAAACTGTAATTATCACTATTGCGCTTGTCTGAAGTAATTATCAAAAATTTTATTGAATTTATATGAATTAATAAAAATAGAAAATTTACCATAGATTATTGTGTCATGTGGTACTGTTACAAACGTAAGTGTTACCGAAATATAATTAGTGTCATTGTTATGTTTATGTTACAAAATCGTTAACAAAACATAATAATGACATTATTTCAATTGTGGTAAATATTTTCTTAATATTTACAAAAAAAGAAATATATTCTGGTAAAAAATATTTTTTTTTGTAAAATCAAAGTTGTCATTTCTTTTGTAAAGAAAAATATTCGCCGGTGATATAGCGTAACCTTCTCTCTACGAAATTTATTTAATTAAATTTTTTGCGTTAGACGAGAAAAATTATTTTGAGGCTTGAAAAATTAGTCTTTTTTATAGCTTCTTATTTTGTGATTGAGAATAAAATGAAAAAAAAGTATATTATATATTTAACTCACCGTGAATCAGTGCCATTTTCACTTAGGATCTTAAAGACAAACACTCGCTGCAATTTCGAGAAAAATCAAAATATGACAGTGAATGAAAGCATATTATTATAATTACAATAATTATTACTATTTTCTTTTATTTACTGTAAAAATAAAATTTAAGTTATGAAACATATAAAATAAGGTCAAAATATCACGGAATAAAGAAAAAATGACCAAAAGATATTGCGAGCGAGTGAAAATTTTCAATATTCTAGAGAATGAAGGTGAAAGCTATCACTTGCGATCAATTTTCAGTGGATAAAATTCAAAAAAAAAAAATTAAAATTTTCAATTTTTGTTACTAAATGAAAATAATTTTCAACCTTTAGATTGCATTAACAATTGATACAATATTTAAGTTTTTTTTAAACTACATCGTTTTGTAATTTTTTTTTTATTAGAAATTTTCTCTAATTCTATAAGGAAAATTAAAAATGAATGGAAAGAAAAATATGTGTATGAATGTAAAAGAGTGCAATATGAAAAACTTAACGAAACTTTCTTTCTTAACTAAAATGTATTATTATGTAAAATCAACGAAAAATTGTAACAATTATTGAAAAAAAGAAAAAAAAATATGAAAACTGACGCTTGCATTACCTTTGACTAATTTACACTTTTTTGGTGCTAATTGTATGTGTGTACATATACATACCATTAAACTAGAGCTAATTGTAAATACCTTATAAGCTTTAACGATAAATTCGACGATAATTAATTAAATTTGAATTTTCTCCATTAACATAGTTTTACCGTTCGATAAGCTATAAACGGAACATGTCGAACTGTGTTTCAGATCGAATTGTTTTCTGTAACACGATTAAAATCATTCGAAATAATAAATAAACTTAATTCGCAATTAATTCCATGTATTTTTTATTCCTTAAAAATTCCTTTAAATTGAATTTTATCACAATGGGTCATTTTGACCAAATGATCTAAGACAAATTTTTCTTTTATAAACAAAAATTACTTTATAAGATTTTTTGATATTGAATTACAATAATGTGTGGCAATAATGTAATTTACTTTATTTAACAAATGAAAATTTCCATGAGAAAGCAAAGTATTCATATAATTAACACAAAAATATCAGTTACAAATTTTGAAATGATTGTGAATTTGTTTTACTGAAATTGTACTGTACTTTGCAGATTTGTGATATTTTGCGATTTATGAAATATTTTATATTTTCTAGAGGCAAACTTCGATAAAATTCGTACTTTTTATGCAAAGATTCTAATAATAAAGAGTAATATTAATTTTTAAATAAGAAAAATGTAGGAAGATTATATTTTATGGAGGTTACAACAGTTGTAACACCAAAAAATACCTTTTTCCTTATTTTTTATTTAATAGATTAGTAAATTGAAAAAATACTATTTTTTACTTAAGAGTACATAATAATGTTGTACAAATATGTAACATATGTTACATATTTGTTAAAAAAAATTCTATGGCACATGTCAATAGTAATGAGCAATTTAAGTGACGCCTCCAGACAAAACACGATGTGCGGTGACCTACATTCTGCAAATATAGTTTGACTTGTATCCAAAATTAAATTGATTTACATTTATTAGAAGATTATCTAGTTTTTAATAAAAAGCGTTAAAAAATACAGAAATGGTTAATCGCATTCAGTTCAGACATTTTGATTATTAGATCGTCTTTCAGCATTAAAAACTCCCGAAAAAGGTTTCTGTTTCAATTGAAAGTCGTCTACATCACCAATTAACATACCGATTATCATGTAAAACCCTTTTTGCAATACAGGGATCTTTAAATTGAGGTAACAATTTTTTATTATTTCCTATGTCGGCGACAACGTTGGTAATGATAACAAAGCATCCTTCTCTTTATTTTTTTGTCGAACAATCTTTAATTCGCTTATTATGTTTTTACAATTGTTAGGCTGGCAATTTCTCGCAATTCGCATCGAATTTCCAAAAAAAATTTTCCCCCAAAAAAGGTCGGTTTCGTGACATAAATCCTATCCAATAGGAAAAAATGCTATTTGATAGATTAGTGGTGTAGAAACAGAGCCCAAAAGTTTGCACCAACTTAGACCAAGCTCATTTATTGTTATAAAACGACAAAATCATTTTTTTGAAGTTTTTTGAGGATTGCTGTTTTTAGTGAATTTTTTGACAAAAAAGTTGTTATTAAAAGTTGTAGAGTTTAAGGCTATGTGGAAGCAGCTAACTTCAATGAGTACATGTAATAATTCTCACGAGTTTTCTAAAAAAAATACACTGAAAAATTTTTGGGGCAGTATATGTACCTTATGGTACATCAGTTATCCTTTTTTAAAAATTTTACTATTCAATTCATTTCACACATATTATTTCCTATTGTTTTTATATGAAGTATCGGAGCATGAATTTGAATGTGAAAATGGGACTTGTAAAGATAAAATGATAAAAATATCAAGAAACGTTCGGTGATTTATGCAGATGCTGAAGAGCTCCTCGACGCTATAATTCAAGAAAGAAATTTGGAAGGCAATGTTCTAATCAAGGTCATGGCAGATGGAGGTCAGGGGTTTCTCAAGATTTGTATGACCGTCTTACCCGAAAATTACTCTCCGAAATTAGACAAAGTTATTAATGAATCTGACGACGAATTGATCCTCGAAGATGAGAAAGAAACCACTCAGAAAAGAAGCTCTACTCTGAAGGCGGTACAATTAGTAAAGAAAACAAGCTTACTAGTGTTAATAAATTAATACTTTTGTGCATCGTTCTCAAAGTAAAAGGAACTTATAACATCATAAATTGTTATTTGACATAACGAATATCAACAACATTCCCTTCAAATTCATTGCAGATTATAAGCTTCTTCTTATAATTAACGGTCAACAAACAGCTACTGGCACATTTCCCTGTCCGTATTGTCATATTTCATTGCGAGAATTGAGGACAACGTCTCAAACTAAGAAAATTTCAAGTTCTTCCAACAAACCTTCTTGCAAAAATCCGGTGCTAAAGACATATAAAGACTTGAGATGTGACTATTATTAATTTTGTCTTCTTGGTAAAAATAAGAAGCGAGCCATGGAATGTCACAGCGTAGTAAATCCTCCGCTATTTACTGAAAACGACAGCGTTACCGTTTTGCAAAAATGTATCATTCCTGAACTCCATTACCTCCAAGGTTTTGTGAACCATTTGTTCTGGACGGGATTAGTTCCGCTTTTGGGAAGAGATACCGCTCTGATTTGTCCGAAGAAGATTAACGTAATTTCAAAAAACTATCATGGTGACGTCTTCGAAGGAAATGCAGGTAGGAAGCTTTTAAAAGAAGCAGATCAACTCGACGATGCAAAAATTTATGGCGAAGTTGTCCCATTCATTGCTGCATTCAAAGCCATGAACAAATTAGTGAATTCTTCCTTTACGTCGGGAAAAGTAAAACCTTTATGGGCTCTTCCTGCAATCTGCCACCTTATGGCCGTCATCTTCGCACTTAAAGCAAGCAGCCGACCTATCTACTGCTTGACAGTTTCGACCTATATGACCATAATCAAGATACCTATGATATCTTGTGACCATAATTCTCTTCTTCTGATCTTGCCGGACACAAAACCAATCTTAACGTGCCCAACTTTCTCCAGCTTAACGTGCCCTCCTGCATCCTTGGGTCACTGTTCACCGCCCCCGCGCTAGGCGCTTGACGGTCGGAACCAGTGAGGGATTTAGCCGAAGCATTACCCCGCAAGTACTCGCTTTTACAATCGCTCATTTTGGTCTTTCTGTTTGGTTGTCCTTAAGTGAAAAGCCCCGCCACCGCGGGAAGGTCTACCAAACATATCCATCATGTCAGTCATGTCTGGAAGTGGATAAGCATCCACTAAACCCAGCACATCGATGACATCGACGATGTTCTGTAGTGGACAACCATCGGCGGGGTGAAAACTGGCTGTTAACATTTGGAAGAAGCTTTTCATTCACAATCAGTTGCATTCATTTCATTCTCCCGCCATTCTTGTAACTGTTGGTACAGTCTATACTATTGTTGTGCAGCAGCACCTTCTGTAGGTGGTACACTTTCAAGTTTTAAACTGCTTTTTATTGTGGATTTTTGAAATTGTAAAGAGCGCATTTCCTGCAGCAATTTCAGCACGACTTGTGCTGCAAAAAGAAGACAAAATTATTTTGAGAATATACTTTTATAGTTACATCAGTGGAAATTAAATTCTTTACATTTTTTACAACAGCGATTTCTACAATTCCATGTGCAAATTCCGATTGAAAACCTTTTTTCGTAATTTATCACATAAAAGTTCTGCCAATTTCTTTTTATTTTTAATATTTGCCAACCCTACTAAAAATAAAATCATAAAACGACAGAAATTTAGTCAGAATCTCTGATGATTTTAGGCTGCATTTGTTACGATTGCAGCCACAGAACGTCAGGCTTGAGTCATGTTTAATCAAAAAGCTTCAAAAGTGATCAGGTTTTTTATACAAAGTCGACACCCTTTTTACCTGTAAAAAGGTCAACTGACCGTCATAAAATTGAAGGGAAATCTTTTTATTTGTTTATATTCATATTTATTTAAACATTATACTTATTGTTCATCGACTTAGAATCCCTTTATTTTGCAATCCATCAAAAACAAAGTGAGAATTTATCGGAAAATTGATTTTAATGTCATTGACGTAATGATTTTAAATTTTCTTTACATTATGATTATGATGCTATTGCACTCTGTTTAAAAAGAAATTACCGCCAATTACATTAATAACATTGCCTAACGAAGGAACTTCTTCTAAGCGATCAAAGTTATCGAAGAAATTGTTGTGCTGACCTTTTCGCATTCCCGCTTCTTCGAAAATAAGAAGAGGATAAGGAGCAAGTTCATACTATAAGTAGTCTTTCATATCATCTTTTTTTCAAGATTCAAAGATATCCTTTGAAATAACAACAAGGGATTGACTGTTACAATTCTTTCTTTAACTTTGATCGACGAAGTTACTGACTTTTAGGACAAGACTTAATTCTGCCCTTGGAATTTTATACATCCAAAATCCTTACCCATAGCATTTTTTTGCAAAATCTCCCTACTTCTAATGCTTTATAGCAATTGCTTGTTTCATCACCTACAATACCAGAAAAAATTTGTTATGATATCATCAATAGTAGGAAAAAGATTGTAATTGTGAAAGAATGAGCGCAACTTTTGCTGATCTAATTCATCACGAGAAATTCGCGTAATCCTCCACTACTTTTCATTAAGATCTATTCTATCATCATGTCTGTTCAAATTCATGACCAAAATTTGTCAGTTCTTCTAATCGCAAACTGTCCAGATTTGTAAAATTTATCATACTTGAATAGATTATTGTCACGTTAGGTTTTAATTAACGCATATCTTGTAGGTATAATTTACTTGACTTTGCATACAAATGATTACTACTTGCATAGAAATATGGTATCATTTTTTGTATGCAAAGCAAGTGAAGTGTACAATTTCCAGAGCGTTGGGCTTCAATAAATTTCTTAACTAACGTTACTATATCAAAATGTTAAAGCCAAAGCTAACTTGTTTTGAGCCAACCATTTTTTTAAATTCTCTAAACACTTGACAAATCTAATTTTTTGCATATCACAATTTTTTTCAAATTCAACTCGAACATTAGAAATGATCAAGTCGGACATAAAAGTCTAGCAGGAAGACATCTAACAGATCGATTGGCAGTATTATTTATTAAAAACTGCAATTCGTCGATTTTTCTTCCCCAATCGGTATTAAATTTGGGTTATGCGTTGAATAAGTATGTCTTGCGATCTGATATTGAGAAAATAGCAACGGAATTTTATGTTTAAATGGTGGATCTTGGGAATGAATGGCTGACCTCAAAAAAGTTTTTCATATTTTATAAAAGTTAGTGGTAGCACTGATTTTGCCTGGCCCTAACTTCATTAAGTCGTTTATCATGCAAGGGATTCAGCGATTAGCGTTAAGTTCTGACTCTAGAGTCTGAATTTGACATTTACCATTCAGTTCAAGTTTGAAAGTGTCTGTAACTTTACCACTAATTACTATGATAATTTCTAATAAGGAAATATAACAATATATAAGATGTTTTTATTTTTTGGATTGTAATCAATTATAATTTACAATTTTATTACAATAATCAATTTCACCTGATGAGGTCCATCGTTGATGGACGAAAAGCTTTGTGCTTGAAAATAATTTTAATATGGATTAAAAAATAATAAACAAATCAACATCTAACTAAGGAAATATAACTCCAAATACTAACAAATGTTTTTAAATTAAAATAAAATGAATAATAAATAAAGTTTAGTCATTTATTTAATATCAGTACTTCTGTATAACTATGTATATATATATCTGAGTTTACTTTATTAAAACTAAAAAAATAATTCAAATAAAAGTACAAACAAAGTAATATACTATTTAAATATTACCTTTTTATTAAAAATTCGTGAACATTTAAATGTTTGCTAGAATGTATTATTCGTTTACTTTTAGATAACAAAAATTCAATAAATTCTTTTCTATATACTGTTTTCATTGCAGTATATTGTTTTAACATATAACAATAGTTAAATAAGCTTAAAGTTGGAAATATAAATCTAAAAAATAAATTTCTCTTTTCATATCCTCTGTTGTTACCAAGATTGCAATTCATTCTTTCGGTAAGAGAAAATTATTAATAAGAAATCTTAATATTTATTAATCTGAATTTCAATTTATCACTGCAGTATTTTAATAATATAATATATATTATCTTTCAATTAGTTAATTAATAATAATAATAATAATAATAATAATAATAATTTATAACTGTACTGAAATTACATATTAATATTATTTTGAGTCGTTCACAAACTACGTCACACTCCTAGGGCCAGGGGCTGAAGCTGTGTATGCCAAAAATGTGATGAAGGAGGGGGCATAAAAATTAAAATTAGTCAGAAAAAGCGTGATGTAGTTTGTGAATACCCCTGTGTTTTTAGTAAATTTTTCTAAATACTTGGTTTTTCCTGATTAAAAGTACCAATTTGCCAATATACCACTGAATGTTTTCATAATATTTGAAATTAACTTGTAAAACTTTAGTTTACGTTATCAAATATTATATCAGAAAAGCTACAAAACATAGGGTAATGTCACCTTGAGTGGACCGCCTAAGCTTTTTCCAAAAAATTCTCTATGAAAGCAAATTAATCGGAGGTTTCTATTCCAAGCTTTAGTTTAGATCCCTAGATAAGTGTTTATACCATAATAGCTTTGATTTTTTTATTTGGAAAAAACAATTGACTTTAAAAAAATAGCTAATTTTTAAGGAATGAAAAAAGTGTAACCTTGAGTGGACCACTCCTAAAAATTGTAAAAGTTATTCTAATTTCTTTAATTTATTTAATACTTCTGATATATTGAAACAAAATTTATGCTTATGCAGCTTCAGACCATGATTGTGTCGAAATGTTTCCAAGTGAAACCATTTTTAATAATTTTGGCACATATCACATTAAAATCACAAAAAAAATTAATAACGAACATAAAACATAGTTTTAAACCAATTTATTGTCAATTAATTTCCATAAAAATGTTAAACTGACATTAAAAATATAAAAAACAGGCAGTTCACTCGTGGTTATAAACAGTGGTCCACTCATGGTGACATGCAACTTTTTATGGCAGACACCACAATCTTTTTTTGATTCAAAATTATCACTTAATTAAACTAAGGCAATCAATTTCAATGTCCAAAGTAGTAGGAAAAAAATAAGTTACCTTTTAAAACTTAAATTTTACACTACTTTTACACTTTCGAATCAATTTACTCATTGTAAGAGCGACTTCTTTTTTAGTTTGTGTTCTTAAAAATGCGTTACATCAAACAATAACGTATATGATTATCGCGGAACATAATTTTTTACGGTTTCAAGGTGCGGTGCTGCTACTCGTTTTATTTATTTCACGTTTCCGCTGTCAGATAACTTAAAAGCTCAGGTGGTCCACTCAAAGTGGCGGTCCACTCAATGTGACATTACCCTATTTAACAATTTTGAAGAGAACATTAAAACACATGAAAATAAAATTTTACTATTATAAATTGTGCACGAGTTATTTTTAGTAGTAGTTGAATACACGTATAAAAGATCACGCTATGGTTGTCGTGCCTAAATCTTAATAATTCAATTCTTAATAAACTTTTGCCCTAATAAATTATTTAAAATTAACAAAAAGTTATTTGTTTAATAAGGCGACCCATAAATTAACAAAATTTGTTTTTAAACTTACTGATCCATTCAAGCTCATGTTTCCCTTTATCTGATAAGGAAATGTACATAAAAGTGTACATGATCATATTTAAATTTCCCATGAGGGACTTGTACATGTCCAAGTAAAATTTCTTGAACCATTTTTTCTTCACTTGAAACAGCATTTTCTTATAACTTTAAAGACTGCGCAATAGTTTTACTAAGCATTTTCGAATGCATAGTTGATTTCTGAATGTATGGAAAATGCGATGTTATAATATTAGTTTACAGTTTTATTTTCTTGATTAATAATTACCTCGAAAGATGACTCTAATTCTCGTCTTTATAAATTTATCCACAAATCATGCTTGGCACTCGCTTTGGCTGGTGTTCTGGCTCCTTCGGATCTGTCAGAGGTTGGTCTGGCCTCCTTACTAGTGGACGATGTTGACTGTACGATTTTCTCGAAAAAAACTACTGTCATTAATTTCTTCACATTTGCCTTGTTGCTGGATTGATGAGGAAGGGCTATTTCTTTTTCCTTCGCTGCAAATGCTTCGAGGCGTTTGTCAACCTTCGCGTTACAAACTCTTTTCCGGCACTCGTAGCAACAGATGTCCGGGGAATTGCGAGGTGTCAAAACAGATTTTGCATCACTCGTCCTCCAGAACCTTCTATGTAGTTCATCATGGAATAGTGTGCCCATGGGTAATCAGCAGTAAAAAAATCTTGTGTTCCATACTTCTGGAAAACGCGGCCAGAATACGATTTCGGGCAGTGGCGGTAGGGGTGACCGTCGGTTTCGCAATTAAGGCAGCCCTCTGCTACCTTGGGGCGAAGACCATCCTTATCGAGAAGACAACCAAGATACTCGACAGAAGATTTGGCGAAAGATGTTTTTTTCATATATCCTAATACTTTTCTTTCAGCTTGATGGCGTTTTAAAAATTCGTGACATATCTATCAAAATTTAATTACGTTCTGAAGTATAAACGAACTTATACGTCACGAACTAACATTTTGATAGAAGTTTCACGACTTTTTAAAAACCGTCAAACCGACCAGAAAGAAGCAGGGCGTATAATTAGTTTTTGACAATTGAACTCTTTTTCAGAATCAAATAAAGTAAAAATCACGTTTCATTAAAAATTAAAAAATGAAATGCATTTACTTACTTATTACAACATTGATTTTTCTTCGATTTACGCAACAACTAGAAAACTATAAATTACCAACGGTTACGAAGCCACTTCATTATGAAATACAACTTGAACCACACCTGTCTCCGGATAATTTAAGATTTGATGGTGAAGAAGAAATTACAATAAAGATTTTACACAAAACAAATAATTTGACATTACACTCATTGAATTTGTTTATATTTGAAAATAAAACATTGCTCTCTGATGAAAAATATAACTTTAAGCCCAGTAAACATATTTACGAAACAGAAAATGAATTTCTCATTTTAAAATTTATAAATGATCTGCAACCTGGAATTTACAAAATAAAATTCAAGTTTTCTGGCAAATTGAAAGATGAACCTGAAGGATTTTTTTGGGATTCTTATGTAGATGATAAAAACAATACTATGTGAGTTTTAATCAAATTTATAAGAGCATAAAAATTAATAATATATTAAATAATCAAAAATAAGCTCGCTTGCTTTAATATTTAACTAAAAAACGACCCCCGAAATCCAAAAATTAACTTACCATTTTTTTGAATTACTTCCTTACAGAAATTTAATTAAATGTATTTTAAACATTTTTTAAAGTTTATTTATGGATGTCAAGGGACAACTAAAACTGATAACGAAATTTTAATCCTGATTCTTCTATCTAGTGGCTCACTTTTAAAATACTTTACTTTTAATTTTTAAAATGTATCTATATTTTCAGATATTTAGCAGCAACTGAATTTGAACCAAGTTTTGCTCGAAGGACTTTTCCCTGCTGGGATGAACCCGCCTTGAAAGCAACTTTTGATATTTCAATCAAACATTTCTCAAATTACACAGCACTGTCTAATATGCCAATAAAAAAAACAATTTTCCATTTAAATAATGAGAAAATATGGACAATTTTTCAAACAACTCCTTTGATATCTACGTATTTAGTTTGTTTCACGCTTTCAGATTTTGTTAATCTTACTAACACTCAGAGTAACATTACAATTTGGTCTCAAAAAAATAATTATGCATCAATGATCTTGGGATTAGACGTTACAACGCGAGCTTTGAATATTTTAGAAACATACACGGACGTACCATATGCATTACCAAAACTAGAAATTTTTACTGTTCCAAATGCACTTCTAGGAGGGATGGAAAATTGGGGGTTGATTATTCTGAAGTAAGATTTTATAAAATGTTTTCTACATAAGTTCTTTTGTATATAAAATAGACTATGGTATAGAAAATAGGAAATAATTAGTCTTTGGAATTTATACCTAGGATAAATTTTGAAAAGTTAATAATCATTATGTTTCTTTACATATTAATCCATATTTTACTTGTTTGTTATAAAACAATATTTTTTGTCAGAATTTACAATTTATAAAGGAGATTAAATTTTTATAGAGAAGTACACCTTGTTGGGAATACAGGATTTTCAACAGTAGGTAAATTTGACACTAACATGCTTTTATTTCATGAAGTTGCCCATCAGTGGTTTGGAAATCTGGTTTCTCCGGCTTGGTGGAATGATTTGTGGATAATGGAAGGTCTCTGCAGTTATCTTCAATATTTTCTTTTAAATAAGGTATGTCAATTTTAAAATCAAATTGTTGGGTTGTTTCTATAAATAAATACACAGGTTAATTATTAGAGATATTAAGTTTATTAATATAAAAGAATACAAATGTGATTGAAGTACTGAACTGATTACTGTTAAGTGCTCGCTTCACTTAAAATTCAAATATTTCTGTGAAAATAGATGTAAGAGCTATCAAAGTAGGATGATTTTAAAGTTCAATAAATTTAGAGTCAAATAGGGTAAGATATAACCCATTTAATAGTGTAAATATTAAAAATATAATTCTTTAAAGTTAGAGATTTTTTGTGAAAATTGCGATTTTGAAATCTGGTATTCAAGCGTACGCCAATTGAAGAAAATTTTTTTTTAAGTTTTGATAGTTGCACAATAAAAAGAACAAATTTCATTCTTTAATTCTAGATTAAAATCATTCACATATATTAAGTATTTTCTTCAAATTCTATAAAAATAATATCTCTTGCTTTAAATTTTTCGAAGAATATAAATTGCAAATTCGTCGTTTTCATTCACTTGTTCTATCTAATAATCACACTTTTTAAAAATATAGAACCTCTTCATCTTAGGAAATTTAAGTTATTTACATGAAATGTATCCCTCTTCTTATAATTTTACAAATTTTAACTCTATCATTATTCCTTATTTTCATTCTAGGTGTCTATTTTTTATTTTTCAATAAAAAAGGTGCATATTTTTCAAAAGTGTGGTTAATTGAAAAAATAAGTGAACGAAAACGACGAATTTGCAATTAATATTCTTTGAAAAATTTCGAGAGCAAGGAAAGTTATTTTTAAAGAATTTGAAGAAAATGCTTAATATATGTGAATTATTTTGGTCTAGAATTAAAGAATGGAATTTGTACTTAATATTGTGCAACTATCAAATCTTAAAAAAATTTTTTCTTCAATTGGCGTGCGCTTGAGTTCTAGATTTCAAAATCGCATTTTTTACGAAAAATCTCTAACTTTAAATAATTATATTTTCAATATATACACTATTAAATTGGTTATATCTTAGCCTACTTGACTCTAAATTTATTGACCTTTAAAATGATCCTACTTTGATAGCTCTTACATCCATTTTTACAGAAATATTTTAATTTTAAGTGCAGCGAGCACTTAATAGTAATCAGTACAAATGTACTGAAACTTTTTGACCCCAGTGTAGGTACAGTCAATGTGAACCAAATTTACATTTTATTTTTTTTCTCTAAAACTACTGGCGGTCCCACGGTGAAACTTGCAGGACTTTTAAATTACACTTATAGCTTCTTTTGACAAAAAGATTAAGAAAAGTAAAAGTGACGTATTATCAAAAACGAAAATAAAAAATTTAAAAAAAAAATTTTTAATAGTATATCTAGAAAAAAAACATTAGCGACTTTGAAAATAAAAATCGAATAATTGGAACTCGAGTTATAGCGTTTCAAAAAAAATGTTGCTTAAAATTAAAAAGTCCCGTATCTCCGCCATTTTTAAAAATTTTGAAAAAATATTTGGTGTTAATTTATGTTACTATAGTAGTATTATTTAAACCAATTTATAGCCAAATCCCATTCGATGAAAAAAATCTTGATTTACTTTACCCGCTATAAAAATTCCAAAAATATATCAATCCCCTCATATGACTCTCATTGAATTAAACAATAAATACTTATAATTTCTACCCCGATAGGGAGGTGCATGAATTTGAGTTAGACGCGAAACTCGCATTTACGGTAAGTGCTCTTAAGGGGAGGTTCTCATTGCGGAGGCCAAAATAAACACAAACTTTGACAATTTTTTGCGAGGAACGGCTATGACTTAACGATGTAATTTTTTTTTCTAAATAAAGATACTTTCTTGAACTTTTAAAATATATATTTCATTTTAAAAAAAAATGCAAAATGGCGGCCAATATGGCGCATCTAGAAAATAATGTTTTATTAAATAGGGAAAACGGTGGGCATTCTATACTGCGCAATTTTTAGTCTAAAACAAAAACTCAAAAATTTTTATAAAGGTGACATCCTAAAGAATAGGTTATACCTAAAAAATAGTTAAAAAGTTAATAAAATGTCAAATGGCGAACACATTTTTAAAAAAACTGCGTTTTTGCATTATTTTTCCATATTTGACCTCTTGTAAAAATCTCTATTGTTAACAATTTTATCATATTATAGGTATAACCCCAGTAGAATTTAGTTACCTTTAATTAGCCGCAAACCCGAAGTTGATTGATTAAATAGTTTAGACGCTACGATGCCCACCAGTTTGAAAAATCTTGTTTCGAGAAAACCGCGTTTAAAGTTTGAGAAACATTTTTGTGCAATAATTTTATTCTTTGCAATTCTTTGTTCAATTTGCGTATATGATAAATATCTATAGGTATTTAGGGTCGCTCTTTACGATTCTGAGGTCAGATTTGCAAAATTTTTAAAAATTGATTCGATTTGCCTGACATTTGTTACTCAGTGCTCGGGACGGCGGTGAGTTCAAGACTCCATAAAAACGAAAATATTCTTCGGATCAAAAAATCGCTATACACACATATTCTACATATATATAGCTTTAAAAAAATACAATAAAAAAGAAATCAATTTTTTTGACTCCCGCAATGGGAACCTCCCCTTAAGATCTTTGTCACGAGGTAGCTCTCTGACCACTGAAACGCTTTACAATATTTCGGAGACTCAATCTATCGAAATTCATATTCTCGCCCCACTCCTATCCATCATAATACAAATTTCTACAAGATGATTCTCGACAAATCAGTTGATTCTTACAATACGCATGAAAACAAAAGTTATTGTTGCTAATTGTTCCTATAGAAAACAAATGTTTTTTTAAACCTGGAACTAAGAATACATTTTTAAGTTCGCGTTGATGTAACATACCATGTAATTCTTTCTGGATAACAATGGTGCCCTTACCAATCGCTGCTTCACTTCGACTTCTTGTCTATCACCTTGCTTACAGACAATATAAGGAGTTCTTGTTTTCTGTGATCAAACCCTGATATTTTTATTTTTTTTTGTTTATATACCTGTCTTTAGCCTTAAATACTTGGCTATACAAGTGTTTTTACATTTTCGTAATTTCTCTTTACAAATTTTCCTTATTAAACTCAAATACTAAATTTTTCGTCTACAGAACGGCTTGAAATTAGGAGTACTCGCATTTGCCTGGACCACCCGTCTAATGGTTTTTCTCGCCAGTGGAGAGGGAAACTGAAGAAAACCTCTCCTGAGTACAACCTCCTTAGCAGGAGCTTCTTTAATCAAAATATAAAGGATATTAGTTAGCATTCTTCGGAAACTCTTATAGTAGAAGATGTTTTTATTTCGAGTGTGTCCTAACTTACGTTGTTGGTTAAATGCAGCGGTAGATAATGTTGCTGTTGTTCGTCTGCGAGAGCGAAGTGCTCCAGCTGCCGCTACAGTTGCGGTAGATCGCGCAGCGGATATTACTGTGACTTATCGTCTTCTAGAGCGACATGTGGATTCCCTGACAGGAGATTCTGTAATTAAAATAAAGGATATTAGTTTTATCTTTTAAACACTTGAGGTAGAATTGTCTTCTAGTATTATAGTTTGTTACTGTGGCATTTTTTCTCTTTGCCCTGTCTCCGACGATCTGTAGAATGTTCAAAGCGTTGTTACCCTCCTGCATCTTAGGGCCACTGACTATCGATGCATGCAAAGCACTAATCGATCGATACCAATAAGCAATTCAGCTGTAGCATTACGTTACAGGCATTCCTCAGATTTTTTTACAATTGATCATCTTGATGATTTGTTCCACATCGATTATTTGATTCCACCGGTGCTACCCTTAAATACAGTTTTTCGATCCATCATCTGTGTATTGAGAGTACTTTAACGTTTACAAAGCGAGTTATACAATTTTATTAAATATAATACTATATAAGGTCACAGCAGTACTGTAAGAGATTGGGGATTATAGTGTTTTAAAATTATAGGTTTCAGTGCGGTAAAAAATTTGGTAGTTAGCAGGATATTTTTTATTTAAAATTATAATAATGTAATGCATTTTTTAAGGTCTATAATAATTCAAGAATAATGGACCTTTTTGTCATACAAATGTTTCAAGTATATAAAGATGATGAGAAGTTTCATCTGCCTTTGTTTCCTAATATCACATCATCAAGTGAATCAAATAGGTTATTACGTTCAGTTCACAAAAAATGTAAGTTCAGCGTATGTTTTCGGCACACAGAGTTAACACTGAGATAACGATTATACAATCATCAATAACATTCTGTTGGATTTAACCAATCGCCATTAACCCGGAGTTAACTCTGGGCGATTGCCGAAAACAGCCTTAAAATACGTCAAAATTGTACATCCACTTTTTTTTGACAAATCAAAATCAACTTAAAACGTTAAAGTACAAAAATTGAAAAGTTTCTTAATGTCCACTTACTAATTACCAAACATTTATTATGACCTATATTTAAAATTAATCAAAATTAATTATTTAAAAAATTTACATTTCTTTTTAGCTGCTATAATGATGTATATGTTGAGTAATATAATATCAAAAGAAGCTTTGCAAAATGGAGTCAAAAAAGTTTTGGAAGAGTAGTAAGCTACATTATAATTTTTTTTATAAAATTACTAAAAAATAGGGATTGTACAAAAATTAATACACTTTTAGTAGGTACGGAACTGTAACGACCAATGAATTTTTAGAAGCAATGCAAGAGTCCATGCATGAATTAAACATACTCCATAATAATTTTGAAATAAAAGAAGTTATGATGTCTTACATATCCCAAGTAGGATATCCTTTAATAAATATATCTCGAAATTATACAACTGGAAGTATAACTTTAACTCAGGAGTGCCCAATTTGTTCAAGGAATAAACCACAATCAAAATTCTTCATTCCGATTAATTTTGTAACAAGTTCGTCTTTGAATTTTTCCTCAACATTTGCCACTCATTGGCTGAGACCCAAAGACAAGGAATTAGTTATAGAAGGAATACACCCCGAAGATTGGGTTATTTTTAATATTAAAAATAGTGGTAATTCATCATTTTTACCTTAAATTAATAGTTTTTTTAAATTATATTAACTTACTTTACATTATAAATTAAGGTAATTTCTCAAAGAAAAATGATTTTTAGCCTATTATCGTGTAAATTATGATGAAACAAATTGGGAGCGCATAAAAAATTATTTAAATTCTGAGAATTTTTCACAAATTCATGTTTTAAATAGAGCTCAATTATTGGATAATGTATTTTGGCTCTACCAGCAAAAACTAATTGCCAAAGAATTTTTCCTAAATTTCATATTGTACTTGACTCGAGAAGTAGATTATATTCCGTGGGAAAATTCTGCTAATGTTTTATATTATTTATTTATACAAGCTGTCAAACCTGAATTTAAGGTAAAGGTATTATAAAATAAAATTAACATGTTATGGAATTTGAAAAACCACAATTATTAATGTTAATTTTTTTAGGAATGTGCTCTGAAGCTTGTCAAAGCTCTTTCAAATAATTTTATTAACAGCCGAAATCAAAATACTGACATTTTTACTGCGGAAAAACGATCTTTAAGTAAATTTTGGAATACAATGTTTAAAAACCTTCGTTAATAATTACCAATGTCATAATTCAATAGTATGTCTATGCAAGTGTGAGTTATTATTAATTTTATATATGTTAATATATCCATAATGAATATTAAAAATTTCATTATTACCATACAATATTGTATTTTAACATAATCTTAATTATATGTATCATAAAATATTGTTTTTGTTTTATAAATATTATTATATTATTTTTTCAAAATTCAAAATGGCGGATCCAATATGACGGACAAAGAGTTTTTAAGGACGCTGAATTTAAATCTTTTTTACTATTTCAAACATCTTTAGCAATCATATTACAGAGTTGAATAATTATATATATTTTGCAGTAAATAAATTTTTTTTGATTTTATTGGGAAAAAATCAATATTAATAAATAAAATAACATATTTTAGCACTATAAAGTAAAATGTTTATTCGAAATATGTAAAAATTTGAAAAAATTTTATTCTAATAATGGTTTTATAATTATTCCTAATGATTATGATAATAATAATAATTATTATTATATTTTATTATATTTATTTTTAATATTAACAAAATATTTAAATTATAAAATAAATAATAAAAAAATGATAAAATTAATATAATAATAATTATTATTATTTATTATTATTATTATTATTATTATTAATTATACTTAATTAATAATAACATTTTATTAATATTAATAACGACAAATTAATTATTTGATATTAATTAAATTTATTTTTACACTCTTTTACATGTAAAGTTTTTATCATATTTTGAAAAATTCGCGCGATTTTCGTTAGGGGAGACTGGGGTAAACCCGCTCACTAGCGATTTGACGCTATGAACTCAACTTAAGATGGAGATATTGGTACTGTGAATAGTAATTAACATTTAACTTATTTAAACAAACTTTCGTTTAGTTTTATGAATTCAACCTAGAATCAGAAGCGATCAAATGTTTTTAGAGGTGTCAGAAAAAAAACGTTAATATTTTAAAATAATTTCACGTACTATATTTTAACAATAACAAAATATATGACTTATTAAAACCAAAATTGTAACTACAGTTGACTTTCTCATAATAAAATATAACACTATTTAAATCCATAGTTGTAATTCATGAAATCTATGTTCATTATTTATTAAACCAATTTGTTGTTTATAGAATTGTTTATAGAACTCATAGTTTATTAATAATAAATCATACTTAAGACGGGAATAAGACGAATTTTAAAATGTAAAAAGTAAAACTGTTTCGTCTTGAAAAGATTAAGTGAGCAGATTTACTTTGGAAAATTGTGATTTCGAAATTTGGTATATGTGTGTTAAAAAGTTTCTCTAAGTAAAACTAAAAAAGATAGATCAAAAACTCTTTTTTATTTTTTTAGTAGAAATCATAAGCTTTCAAATGATATAAAGTAACTTGGATTTAGAGAATAATTTCCTAGATTTTAACCGATCTGAACAAAAGTGAGCGGGTTTACCCCAGTCTCCCCTATAGTTCCCTTTTTGTCCGCTAGGTGGTAAAATCGTATTTCTCAAGCTATGTAAGCGCGTTATGAAATATATAAGAGCAGGAAACTTTCTTTATTCAAATATTACTAATTTTTCGTTTTTTCAAAGGTAAGTGTAATTTTTTTCTTATTTCTTTCAGTTTTTTCCGTTCTTTTTTTATTTTTTTTCATTATACTTTTTGACTTTAAAGCTTTTTCCTAGCATTATATAAATTTTTTGTCAACGTGTATTTTGCACGTCATATAATGTCAAAAAGAAAAAGAGGTGTATCCTTAGATAATTCAACATTACCGTTGCAAGAAACAAGACGCTCGATGCGAAATGTAGTAGCATCTATTGAATTTGAAGAAGCTGAAGATCATTTTGACGCGTTTTTGATTCCTGATTCAGATGATTCTAATGAATCTGAAAATGAATTCAGTGAAGAAGACGGCTTAAGTGATACTGACAGTTGAGAAGACGAAATATTAATTCCTAAAGAATCTTATTTTCAAAAATACGAAAATTATTCTGTTTCACAAAAGAAACTTGAAATTAATCATGTTTATGATTAGGTAAAGGGTGAGAATAAATATAATGAATCTTTAGAAAATGATGTACTTTTATCAGCTTAATAATAAAAAAAGATATTAAAAAGTACACATAAATATATTTGAATTTTTTTTCTCTAAAGAGTTAAAAAAATATATAATAGAAAGTACAAGTGCCAATAAACTAGACATATCTTCAGTAGAATTTGATAAATTTTTAGGAATTATTATCTTCACAACTTTTAATAAAAGATTATCTCAAAGAGATTATTGGTCCAAGGATTCACTTTTGGGGACTGATATTATTCTATCAGCAATAAGCAGAGATCATTTTGAAAAAATCAAATCAAAAATATAATTTTACAAGCCCGAAGATGCTAATTGTAAAAATGATAGAATTTGGCGAGTTCGTTCAATATTGAACATATTTCGCCAAAACCTTGTACAATTTGGAATTTTTTCCACAGCTGTATCAATTGATGAAATTATTATAAAATACTTCGGCAGAAATATTCTGAAACAATTCATCAAAATAAAGCCCATTAGATTTGGAATTAAGATGTGGGGTTTATGTAGTGCATCTGGTTTCTTATTTAATTGTGACATATACTGTGGAAAAAATTCCAGTAATAATGAGGTTTTGGCAAATTAAAGCTCTGGGAAGTCGCGTAGTTCTTCAGATGCTTAAACCTCTTTTATTTAAAATCTCTTCAAAAAACTGTTGAAATATCATGTGTACTTTGACAACTTATTCTGTTGTCCTGACTTACTGGTGCACTTCAAAAATGCGGGTCTTCGTGCAACTGGTACCCTCCGAGACAACAGAAAAAATGATATTTCGAAAAATGCTTCCAGGGGACGCACTCTGTAAAAGATGACAACAATAGTAGGATTAACTTCATTACCGATCAAGATTCGAAGCAAGTATCAATTTTATCAACAGCGGCAGGTGTGACCCCTTTAACCTCTGTAAAACGTTACAATTAAAGAGGTTAAAGAAAAGGTTGACATCCCTTTTTCTAATGCTTTTGGTAACTACAATAAGTTCATGGGCGGTGTTGATGTTCATGACCAGTATTGTAGTCGCGTGTTGACAATCATCAGATCGGAAAAACGGACTTGGGTGATATTTGAGGGATTAATTCAATCAGCAATAACGAATGCGGTAATTTTACACAACACTGTAAACAGCGAATCGAAAAAAATTGGGATAAAAGAGTTTTCTATAAGCATTAGCAAAAGTTATCTGATAAACAAAAAAGTGAAAAAATCCTGTTGTGGAAAGAAGCGAATCACAAAAATATTGCTCAACAAATAAATGTTCTATAAGAACACGAAAATTTTGCCACACCTGTACAGTGGGCCAGGAACCTTGTTTGCGTGGCCAAAATTCATAACTTCAAGAAAAATAGAAATGTAAAATAACTCATAACTATTTTTATAGTTTTTGGGGTCGCTGATTACGAATCTGAAGTCAGTTTTCAAAAATTGAAAATGGCGGATCCAATATGGCGAACAACAAAATTAAAAGTTGATTCGATTGACCTGAAAATTGATATTCAGTGGTTTTTTGGGTCGCTGATTACGAATTTAAAGTCTGTTTTTAAAGATTGAAATATTTTTAGAAAGTAAAAAAGTCAATATGTAATTTTTTTCTAATTTCTATTTCAATTAACGGCTAGAATAAGCTGTAATTAAACACCCAGGATGTACCACGAGGAGGTTTCTAGTCCAATTTATAATCCCATTTTTAAAAATTTTTTTAAATTAAAATTTTTTTTCTTGAGTTTTTTTGATATTTTTTTGTTTTTTAATTTGTTTTTATAAATTTTGTACGATGGTTGGATATGTTATAACATTGACTATCAATAAAATTAATAAATTCTTGTGATTTTAATACTAAACTTGTTTTACGATCTTCACTTACCGTTAAAAACAACTACAAAGATGAGCAGAGCTGTTTGTGAATTAAAAAGCCACATGTTGATATTCACTCTTCAAATCTAACTATAATCAATACTCAATAAATTGTTATTATATACCCGATTGATAATGACAGAAACACTACGTAATAAATATATATTTAGAGTAGAGGGGGGTAATGTAGTGCACTGGCTTTACTGACTAAACGAATGAATTGAATTACTTGCCGTTGGTATGGTAGGGTTAAGGTATCAAAGTATAGTAATGTATATAATTTTGGCTTTATTGTGCTTCTTCTAAAAGAAGTTGTGGCGTCACTTCAGAAACACTAGATTTCGGAACCATATTTCCGTTTTTTTAATGACTTGAAGAAAATGTAAGGCTCGTTAAAAAAAGTATCAGGTAAGTGCATTTTCCATGTAAAATTTACTTCTGAACACAAATTTAGTATTGTTTTGACGTTTAGTTTTGTTTTTATGGAGATATTGAAGTCAACGTGAAAAAAGTGCTTGGGGGCATTGCAGTGCACGGGGTTGGGGGCAATGTAGTGCAATTATACAGAGTACCGTAAATATGTATTATTTAACCATGTTTGCTTTTTGCAAATTTTTGCAGTTTTCTTTCAGTTTCATCCAACACAGGACCAAATAAATCTCTAGTTTATAGTGCTGTCCACGAGATGAGATGATACCATGCAAAGTCTAGATCTCGTCTCGGTTTTTACATGCAAAGTCTCGTCTCGTGGGCATGACTACTAGTTTATAGTTTTTTAAGTTTCTTATGTTCCTAATATTATATCTAATAAAATAAAATCGTTTATAATATATTCTCTGCTTTTTATTTTACTAATAAAGTGGTGCACTACATTGCCCCACAAATTTTAGAATGTCGAAAAAAAGTGCCTTCAGTTTTTTGGATATAGAAAAGCTCCATCTACATCTACAAAAAAATAATATACACCATAAATGTAGCTAGAAGCATTGTCTTTCCAACGAGTCCTTATTGATCAAAATTGGTTGAAAATTGCGACCACAGGAGTCTTCGAAAGAAAACTGCACTACATTACCCCCTTCTACTCTACTTTTACTATTTACAATTATTTACGAATTTTTAAAAATTCGTCTGACTCGTCTGCTTTGTAAATATAATATACTATATTTACAAAGCAGACGCGTTAGTTAAAATTCAACAAGCTGTAACAAATATTATTAGGGTCCGATG